ACTCTTGAAGCGCGCCATCTTTATTCATTTTGTTGTTATTCCTTCGTTTTGTAGTAAATCGAAATCTCGTACTAATGACCGTTCCGACATATGTTCTATGTTTTTTAATACATTCATATATATATATACATATATATTTACTTACAGAATGTTGCTAGAACAATCGTTATGTGTAATTAACTTATTTTTGTAAGATTTCTCATGAACTATTTTGACAATAACAAGGCACATTTAGTAAATATCTACATGAGAACAAATTGTTGAATCTCAAATTTATTATTATTATATATTTACAGTATTTTTGTAATCGGTCTAGTACTTTTCTAGCCAATTTGTTACAAACGTCTTCTTTATAAATTTTTTTAAGAAAAACGTTGCCCCACGCTCGTATTTTCTCCTGTGTCGTGGTTGCGTTTTCAAACATACAATTTCACATACACGTCTACAATAGTTTAAGACTAGCCGGGGTCTGTCCTTGGGTGCATTTCCATAGTGCATATTATAGGGTCACCGATTTGTGTCCCATTACTTTGAAGTTGTCTAAAGAGCCTCTGCTCATTTAACTTCGGCCTCCCGTACGTCTCTCAAATGACCGGGACCCTGTGGTCCGATGAATGGTAAAGACACACATGATAACCTTGCAAACCTTCTTCAATAAATTTACAAAAATAATTGAAATTGTGGAAAATATCTGAAGCTCATTTAAAAAAAAACTTGTACTTATTACTAAGTTCGCGTGACGTAACAAAATATTTTCATGACTAGGAAAGGTAACATTTTAGCTAGAAGCTATTCTGCGCCAAAACTGTAATATTGAATTTAATAACTAATTATGAAGCTTATTATAGCACTAAATATTTATCACGATTATAAAGGCTAACGTAAAAGCGCCGTCTAAACTTCATTATGGGAAAATATAAAACTTAGTTAAAATATACCAAAATTACCTTAAAGGTTCGGTAATGAAATACTTACATTAGCAGTGATTGTTTATTATTAAAAATTACCTAGCAATAGATATAATATACACTATTTACTGTTTTTAATCACTTTGTAATATAAGATGTAAATTCTACATCATACATATAATGAGCTGTCTACTAGTTTCGAACCACTAAGGGGTTCTTCCTCATGAGCAGAGTGCGCGGTCGCGGCGACGTCGCCACTGCTCATGAGGAATAACTTCTCTGTGGTTCGAAACTAGTAGAGCTTTTCTCAGTATATTCACGTCAGTAACCCGCGATTTTACTTAATTTAGTTTGTCTCACGATAGTTATTATAAAAATCATACATGTATTGACAAACTACACGATATTTTATATCATACGAAAATATCCTATGTTTGTAATTGAAAAAAAAAAGATAGAAGTTGTAGATATTCCTACAGCTTTAGGTTTTCTTTTTAAAAACCAAACTGTTGTCGTGAACGTGGCTTACCATAAAATATACCTGGCCATCTACAAAATAAAAAACTGCCTCGAATTACAAAATGTGTTTATTATATTTTCAACTACATATATCGTTTTGTAATAAAGTTAAAATCTGTTGTAGATATTTAGCAATTTTGATTAGTTTTATTTACTTGGAATATTCCTTAAACTTTTCCAAAGGTGCTTATTTTATTTTTAAATTATGTCATTGATTGTCAATCTTATTTTGAACCATAAATAGAATTTGTCTCTTTGAATGTGAACTAAAAATGGAAAAGAGGATTTCGTCCCACGATGGACTTGAAACCTACGTCGACGTCATTTTTGTAAATTATTTTTAGGTTAAATGTAATTTCGATTACATTTTAGCCAATTAACTATCAGTATGTATAAATTGTGCCTAAAATTCGTGTTCGTTCGTGAGTAAAATGAAACATAGTCATTTTAGTTGAATTAAAATGGACTGGTCCATTTTACATGGCCATTGATTTGTTTCATATTGATTCTTAGTAATAGCAGTTGTTTTAACATTCTATACATAAAACTAGTAATAATATATTTTACACGTTAAAAACATCAATACAAAACTCATAATCACTAAATTATACACTAAAAAAAAAACAAAAACATTTATTTCACTCAACAATCGACAATATCCAATAAACGGAACATTGAAAACAATTCCTATTATAATAATTGGGTAATACTTTGGATTTCAAAGAATCTCACACAAAGGGAGAACGGTGATAATTGACGCATTATTCCGGCAAATCACCGGCGATAGGAATAAGGTCAGAGATCATTACAAGGAAAAACACTCAACTTCGTAACTGCGACAATTTATATTTCGATCAATATTCTTAATGTATTTTGTATCATTCAAATTAATTCTGAATAATTTATGTTTCGTTCTTAGGTAACAATATTTTCGTTTCGTTTTTGTTTTTTCTTTACGTTCAAAGCTAGCATATCTTGTAGATAGTCCATTAGGCAATTGCATATTCCTAATGGATATTTTTTTGCCTACATCATCGTGATCTGTGTGCCTAATTTAGAGGAATATATGAAAGAGTTGTATAATGCGAGTGTTCTCTCGTATATAGAAGATTTATAGAATGTTATAATATTTCTACTTACACATATTTCAAATCATTTTACAAGTAAAATTAAATTGGTGTAGAAATTTTCGACTTATTCACTGAATTCTCAACCTTATTAGAATTACCACTAAGAACTAATTACATAATTACCTAAAAGCGGTCGTTTTACATGTGAAATAGAAGCGCCCTATTCATGTTAAATCATCTACATAATAGGTATAACAAGAATTTATCAAAACTACATTTTTAACGAAGCCACCTTTGCTTGAAGGCGTGGGTTTAACAATGTTATTATTCAAATAATCTAATTAGGGCAGTCTCAAACAATGTCCATAACGAGGGCGAACCAAAATAAAGATAAGTAAACAGTTGGCCATTTTTCTAGGTCTCAGACAGACACGCTAGACTATGCAGGTCTACTAGGATTTGAATAAAACGTGTTGCATGATACACCACTATAAACACTTCGACCTTATAAGGTTGTTCATATACTGATATACTTTGGCACTTCATCAATATTTTTTAAATATTTTTTTAGACTAACCCTAATTTTGTATTCATATT